TGTTGGATGAGACTACATAATATATTATAAATGGTATATAAGATGCAATAAAAATAATATAAATAGATATAAATATATTTTCCTTCACATTGCTCAGTGGTGGTATCCCGAGTACGGTTGTCAGTGCCCCCTGTGGAACATTTCCCCTCTATTTCTATCCTGTATTGTTTTTCCCACCCGGACAAATAGAATAAACCTCCCTAACACAATAAAAACTCACTGGGGGCTCTAAGCCCTCCCCACTTATCCAAAACTAAAGGCTTTAGATATTCTTTCAAAGGTATTTCCAGGCATGTTGGGAGCTAAGTTGGTGTAGATCGCCTCAAGCCAAGGACAATCGTCCCGGAGCTTATTGTTCTGCCACCCCTGTAGAGATGAAGGTGGGCCTCCCCTTTAAATGTATACACAGATATCCCTGCATTGTACTCACCGGCCGGTAGAAAAGCCCAGAGAAGAGGAAGAATCAGCAACTTGCCCATTTTCATGAATTCTCCTTATTTTTTGTTTCTTTGACTCATTTGTCTGTCTCTGATAGACCTGGTCTGCCCGGCTGTACCTGTCCCTCCCATCCAACTCCCTCCCTTGTTAAGGTTCCACTCCCTGCTGAGATTTTCAGCTTTTCTGCCCCGACCGCATATTTTTACAGACTTGTGTTGCAGAATAGAGACAGCAAGAAGGAGAAGTAGGTTAGATTATAGAATGTTGTGCAGAGACACAAAGGCTTGTGGAAGATTTCCAACTTGGAGACAAAACGAGAGGCAAAGTGGAGCTTCTGGCCATTACAAAAGATCTCTAACTAGGGAAGAGCAACACTCAGAGGTTTCATTTCCCAAAATGTTGGTGAAAATTAAAAACAATATTGGAAAATAATTACCATTTTGGCAAATTGCATTGAAGGCAATAGGGAAGTACACATTAGGGTGGGCAGTGGTGGTTTTTAAGGATGCAAGGGTTTAAATAACTCCTCATGGCTTCTGAAGCTCCTTTCTTGTATCATGGATACTGTTCTTCTGTCAAAATTGTTTTTTATTAAAATATATTATTATTATTAAGTTAATACATTTTTTCCATTAAAAAAATGAAATGATACATTTTATTTGAAAATGTTGTTTTGTTTTTCAG